AAAACCATATTAAAAAAAAAATTAAATAAATATTGAAAATAAAGTTAGATAAATATTGAAAAAAAAATTGGAAAAAAATTTAAAAAAAATTGGAAAAAAATTAAAAAAAAAAAATTGGAAAGAAAAATTTTCGACAAAAATACAAAAAAAAAAACAAACTTCAAAAAAAAATCAAAGAAATAAATCTCTAATCAAACCACCAACAGTTCCAACAGTTGCCGTTTGCCTCCTGCCGTTTTTGGCCAATTTGTCTGCCAGCAATTTATGTTGGCCACTCAATTGATAGTTACAAATGTATACAACATGTTTGTATGCAATTGCATTTACAATTTGATTGTATATACAATATTATTGGCTCATCATAGTGCGCTTGCAGCAGGGCATTTGGCTGCTTGTAGGCCTTTTTGGGCCAACTTGTACACGGTCGAAAGCGTCAAGCGTAAACAAGTGTTGTTCCTCTTTCATTTGACTTTTTGTTTGCATTTGCTAGCGTTATGGTTGTTTAGTTTTCACTTTTGGTTTTGCGATTCCACATATAAGGATTTATGCCAAGCGTCAAATCGCTTAACACCTCATTACAATCGATTGTGTCGGTGGCATAATGTTTGTGGATGCTTCGAAAGTAATGCTTCACAAGACCACAAGAAATATTGATGCTTATGTAGTGGGCACGTATGTAAACATAYATRTAYATATATATGTTTAAATGGGTATGTRTCCAATATCTATCAACATTATAGTAGTGCACTCAGAGTGATGGTGATGCTCTGTTCCAAACATGCCTTTCCTTCATTTTTACTCCTTTGCTTACCCAGCACACATACATTCAATACTATTTTATAAATATTTTTTTCTTTTTCAATATTAGCATACCCTTCATGACATAGTATTTTCAGTATTGGAACCTAAACTACTTCTCTAGCAATTCAACGCCAGCGAATATTGACGTTGATTGAATTTTTACTGGTGGTATATATCACCTGTAATGAATGTACATAGATGTGTATAAGAGACAAATTTTTACTGGTGGTATATATCACCTGTAATGAATGTACATAGGTTCTTCAGCTGTTATCAAGGATCTCTTTTGCCTAGAGGTCGTTACTTTTCCAAAAGATATAGGTCTTTTGTTAAGAGCCTAGCATTGATACGCTTCATACCCGAAATATTACCTAAATGTTGATACTTTTCATAGCTAAAACATTAAAGGGTAAGGTGGGTTTGAAAATTTCCAAAAATCGATTTTTTTGCTTTATTAAATTCTACAATACCCCTAGAATATAGTCGAAAATGTTAAAGTTGATCTGAGTAATARTTTCGGAGATACAGCCTTGAGAACCTGTCCACTCAAGGCTAGCTGCGCTAAGTGCCCTGTCTTTAAACGCGTTTTTCTCGAAACTGTGTTTTTGAAGACGGTGGACACGATTTCTCGAAAAGTTATCGACCGATTTAGTTTGTATTGTGTACATGTTTTTGAAATAATATTATCTAGTTATTGAACGAAGGRTTTTTTCTTGTTTCATTACAACTTATTTTTCTGACCAAAAAATGCCGAATGAGATTTTTGTTCAAAGTCCGAGAAAAGAAGGACAATTTTAATATTTTTTTATTTCCTACGTTCAAAAACGAGGTTTAGATATGTATGTACTAACAGAATATGCTTAGTTTTTTTAATTTTATATGAACCAATAATAAGTTATGCTGTCCACGGCGAGAGCACTGTTTTGAGAGACACCCAGGGAAATGCGGTCTCAACGGCGGAATTTTCAACATTTTTGTATCGAAATTTCAGGAGATATTGTTTCCACCTAACCCCTTAACCAAAATGTTTTGTTCCTCTGCTATCTCTCTGAAGCCATCTCRACGATTTTCTTTAACTTTTTCGATGTTATGTTATTCATTTATTAAGGTGGGTGGGCAACACGCAATCTGATGGAAAAAATTTATCGATTCGGCTTGCGCGTGCAGTCGAAATAGACCAGTCCGGGTCAAATTTGATCACGAGCTGGTAAGATTTCGTTGGCATTCTAAATACGTTCTAAATACGAAAACTGATATTTTATAAGGCGGCTGCCATTTAACTCATAGTTCCAACTAAAGATTTTGCTACTAGTTTTTAGGGTTAGGTTCTGAGAAAGTCATTCTTCCTTTTCGTTGTTTAGCACCAATTGAAGAATCCAAGTGTAACCAGCCTTTTCACCACCTGGTCTATTCAACGGAGTGCAGGTCTTCCTCTTCTTCCTCCGGCGGTTACTGCGTCGAATACTTTCAGAGCCGAAGAGTTTCCATCCATTCGGTTGGCATAATCTAGACAGCATAGCCGCTGTCTCTTAATTCACTGAACTACATATGTCAAGGTCGTCGTATATCTTGTACAGCTCATCGTTCCATCGACTGCGGTATTCGCAATTGCCAATGCGCAAAGAACCTTAAATCTTCTGGAGAACCTTGCTCTCGAAAACTCGCAATGCCGATTCATTAGATATTGTCACATAAGGTCTCGAATATAAGGAATTACTTCGATTATGAAATACAAAGATATGCTTAGTACTAATTGTAGCAGTTTTCTAACGGATTTCAAAATTTACATTATTTATTTTAAGTTTTGCCTGCGTTCGCTCATCAAAGGTATAACATCTTTGTCATGGCAGCAGCTACATTTTCTCTCATTTTGTCTTTGTGGGTTTGTGTAACAAGAGATGTGTACATATGTATGTATGTCTTCATTCTGATTGATGTCTATTTGATACACCGCCGTCTGATGGGCATAAATACGAGTTGGGCTCTTCGTCTAGCGTGTCAGTCTCCCATTTTTATGCTGCTTCCTTTGTATAGACGTACATATGTATACATATATGTATGTATGCTTAAAGTGTATATAAGTATGTTTCTATTCTTGTCTGTATGTGCTAAGACCTACCATATTGACAACTCTGTATCTCTGTAACTCGTAATTTTATTTATTTATTTATAAATTGCGGCGTTCAAATAGAATGGGGATACACAGTCACCTTCTAGCATTGACTAAAATCGAACAAACCTAAAAAAAAAAAAACATGCATTTCGTCTATATTATTTGAATTCTATGAACGAAATTGAATGTTACGCATCATTGCGTGCATTGAACTCACAGACAGACGACTGCTCTACATTTGAGTACATGACAGAGGAGACGGTAGCGGACACGCACCCGCATTTGACATTTCCATACTGGTTGCTTTATGACGACATTTACATGAAAAAAAAAAAAACAACAGAGTTTACGCAAATTGGAGATGTAAAGGCTTGGCTGTGGGAGCTTGTTGCTCGGCTTCACTTAACAATTAGGCGATTGTGGGTGCTGCTTGGCGTTTACTCTCAATCAGTCGAAAATAAATTTTAATTTTTGCAGCAAAATCTTTAATTTATTTGAATATTTGCACGAATTTCCCCTATATAGCAAAGCCATCAATTRATGACATGCCATTTATAATCCATATATCAGCAGGCATATTTTATAACCTCATTTTTCATATATGGAAATGCGAAATTATTGACAATATTTTACTGAAAATACCATTTAAACTGAATTGGTGATCCATTTCGATGTTCCCTGCTTTTTTTAAGAAAAACACAGAAATTTCAAATTTAATACATTTATTTTTTGAAGTTTATCGCTTTCAAATGTTAGCCGCGGCTACGTTGCATATGGTCCATGCGTAGAGTCCAATTTTCGATGACTTGTTCGAGCATTTCGACTGGTAACTAACGAATGACATGGGTGATGTTTCGCTTCAAGGCCTGAATCGAAGCGTGTTTGTCCGCATAGACTTTATATATCCTCACAAAACGAGCCTAACGGTGTGATATCACACGACTTTGGTGGTCAGTCGACCGGTGACTTGTTGAAGGCAAATGTCGCCGAGATCACAAGCTTCAATTTCAGGCATCAAACAGTCGGTTATCATATCATATCGCGATAACGGTCGCCATTAACTCTTACTTTCTCACCAGCATCATTTTTGAAGAAGTTTAGGGGCGATGATTCCTTCGATCCACAAACCACAACAAAGCGTTGTTTTTTAAAAGACAACTCTGGAATCTCTTCAGGTTGCTCTTCGTCCCAAATGCGCAAATTTTGCTTGTTTACATACTCATTGAAGCAGAAAGGAACCTCATCCCTGAACAAAATTTGGCTCAAAAACGTCGCATCTTCTTGGAACTTTTCAAGAGACCATAAAGCACATCGATGTCGTTTGCGCCAAGTTGTTCCATACATCAGTCCAAGTTTCTGTGAACAGACGACATAAGACAATACGCCGACCAGACCTCAGACGCAACTAACTTGAGACCTTCTCTGACCGCCATTCACATTGGAGCCATAAACACCTTCACCCACTCCTTAACAGTGAATGGAGTAATTTTGGACAACCCATCACACTTTGCAGACGATCTCTAGTTCTGTGAGCATCGAGAGTGACCCTTGCGCAGCTTCGTTCTGGAAACTTTAGCAGGTTAAATTTCTACTTATCCAAAATCGACCCCGACATACCAAATATATTTATGATCAGCATACAACGAGTCTCCACATGACTCTTAACGACCTATTTGCATGCCCAGCTAACCCTACATATCTGACACCCCTCTCTCTATGATCCGACACCGTCGAAACAGCATGTTTCCTGTGCATTCCGTTGGATGATCTCGATGATAACTTATTTGAACCTTATCACTAGATAACCATTACAATAACAACACAACACAAATCTACCGGTCACCATACACAGAAACACCGGTCTCACAACAGTCGAACGGAACTGTGACCTGCTTTTTTATCCGGCCATGGAAAGATCTCACAAGAAAAAGAAGATAAGCAAAGTTTTCACTTCCAGAGCCAGAAATTTTCGACCAACCTCCGGATTTCGAATTGACTATGTAAAACACAACSTGAGATTAAATTTTTATTTTGAAATTTAGGTATATTACATGTATTATATATATTCAGAACACATTGGGTAAAATCACACACCGTAACTKCGCAGAACTCCTTCATTTCTCAATCTCGCTGTCCACATGCACTTCTTCGGAAACGCTCTCAAAACAATCATCCACTTCGTTGAGCGTACGATTACAATACACCGAGTATACGCTCCAAGCGCTCCAACCCTGACGCCGCTGTATAGTCCTGGCGCAGTCCACCGCCTCGGTTATGTCATCCAGCAGCAAAGCGCTACATTTGACATTGCACTCATTGAACGCGTAATATTTGGTGCCATTGTCCGGTTGACACCAATAGCGACTGCTGATCTGAAACAGACCATAGTCGCCGGAGCCGTCCGCATTGCGATTGCCGAYGACATGCGTGTTGTAGCGACTCTCGTAATGGGCAATGCACAGCCACAGCGACAGCTCCGATTTCGGCACATCCAATATGTACAATTGGCCGGCGAGTTCGCAGCGTTGCAGACGTCGCGTCTGGGTGGGGGCGGGTGCGTRCACAAGCAACAGCCAAATGCAGCAACAAATGGTTGTGATTGTGGTGGCGACGGTGGTTGTGCTGGCAGCGGCAGCGGCTATAAATGTTGGCAGTGATCGTTGCGCGGCTGTTGCTGTTGACACTTCTTCGTGCCGACGGCGGTGACGCGTTACGTTTTGGCACTTCATTWGCATGACGTTTTTTGATTAATGAAAACGAATTGGGGAAATAGTTTTGAAGMGTGCGCGTTGGAAATTTATACGAATGCGGATGTAGTTGATTGGCGATAGCTGTCTCGTCGCTGGTAAATGTCGTACTGCGCTATAGCGCATCGTTGTCGCATGCGTTTGGGGAAGTCAGTAGCAAAAGTTAATTTAAGAACCAACAACAAAACTATGGTCAAAACCGGTTTTATGTTTTGCGAAAATTCATTATGGTAATTACATAGTGTGACTGCCGTTTTTGTTGTTGTTTTTTTTTTTTTGTTATGGGTTGCACTATTACATTCTGGACGTCCTCGCCAGCGGCTTTGTTGCGGCTAGTCGTCTCCGCTTCTTTGCCCCCACAGTCAGCTGCGATATCGCACATTTTTATTTATTGCAGTTGGTTTTGATCATTGATGTATTTAATAATGAATATTAAAGAATAAAAGTGGCGTGAGAATTATTTATCGTTATCGCCGTTGCGCGCATCTTTGTTTACTACTACAGTGGCGTTCAAAACACGAACAGCTGACTACGCSGCACAAAGTGAATGGAAAGATGTTTTTTTGTATATAAAAATGTAAATTCCGACTCATAATTAGTAATTTTTTTTATTTACTTTTATTTAGTACCAATAACCTTCTATAGTGCTCGCCTAACCGATAACCAGAAGCTCGTTAAACCGTATTTTTAAATTGTGAAAACATGACACTGTGCCTCGAAATCCAACGCAGAATAACTCTTGCCAACACATGCTACTTCCGCTACTTCGGACTGAGTAGGCATTTGAGAAGTAAAGTCATCTCTCGACGAACAAAGGCCAAAATCTACAAGTCACTCATCATCCCCGTACTGCTGTATGGTTGGCAACGGCGAATATCGCATTCGATGGAACGATGAGCTTTACGCGATATACGATGCCATTGACAACGTTCAGCGAATTAAGACACAGCGGCTACGCTGGCTAGGTCTTGTTCCGAATGGATAAAAACACTCCAACTCTGAGAGTATTCGACGCAGTACCCGCCGGGGGAAACAGAGGAAGAGAAAAACCTTCACTCCGTTGGAAAGACCARGTGGAGAAGCAGCTGGCTACACCTGGAATCTCCAATTGTCGCCAAACAGCGAAAAAGAAGAACGWCTGTCAGCGGARCTTATTTATTTCTTATCACCCAAAAGTGAGCACAGAATTTGCACCAGTTGCTAAAGTTCCCTTGTCAAAMAGTKTTTGCATCGTATGAGCCTTTGAAAAGGTTTCCATTGGTTAGGATCCCCTTTGCAGGTCTCAAATAAAACCGATCTCGTTATGTAATACATGGTTTTAAAAGTAAAAATCAGCGCTGCATGACAATCATAATTATAATGTAGTGCCTACAACAACAACCAGGGAAGAAGCATGGTTTTATATTCGGCAAAGAACTATCAAACCGGAAGAGTTCATCCAAATTCTTTAAAAAATGTTTCCTGTCGGTGCAAGTTCAACCAAATCTCGTCGGGCCTACGCCATCCGAACGGAACCGAGTTGATGTCTGGCCTGATTTCTAGATAATGAAAATTAACCGAATCTTATGGTCTTCCATCGGTTCTACATAACTTGGAAAGAAACTCGGATTTATATCCGACAAAGGATTCCACAGATTTCATCCAAATTGTTTGGGGAAGGTTTCTAGTCGCTACAAATCTTATTGCTTATTCTCCCTACGCATTCCGAACGGATTCGAATATATAACCGGCTCTTGAACCWTATAATAACTCYTTCACTGTCAGAACTATTAAATTGCCAATTATTTCTTATGATGTAATCTACAAATTCTCCTCCAAGGAACCCWTTCATTTATTTCTTTCGCGGTAGGAACTATTCAATTACTAATTTATTTTATAGTCCACTAATTCGCTTTCACGGAAAAGAATCGTCGTCGTTCTAATTTTGCTATAATTTTTCCAAAACTACAGATCAACTCCAGGCGCACATATTTAGACTTCCGTAATGCAATAATTAAAATGTACTTTAACATGCTGCTCATTTTCCTTTTTGTTTTTGCTCTTTGACTACGCATGAACCCAGCAATACGTTGCGGTGCCATTGAAGTGCATTAATACCCGCTGGCCCAACACATACTCCCGTACACAGCGGCCACATGTGCAACACTTGCACTCAAGTACCGCCGCCCACCTACTGTGGTGCCTCAGCGCGTTGGCTACGCGCCCATCTAACGTTACATATGCTCTGTCGTTCGGCTTAAAGTGTTCATAATTCACGCAGTGGCGATCGATGGGTGATCTCGCGGCAGCCTTGTGGTGCGCCCAACTGCAAGCATATGCTACCGCGTCATGCCTCATTTATTGGAAAGTAAAAAATAATAATTACAGTTAAAAACAAAGAAACGAGATTAAACACAAAGCAAACACATTGAATTTGTGCGTGTCGATCGTTGGAGTGAACTCTAATGTGCCTCGGGACATAAGTACCACCGTGGATCCGAGTAACATGCAAACAAGCTTGTCTGTGTTATATTATTTGTTTGTTTTGCTCCCTCGTTTGCATCTTAAAATTTGCTAGCCTTTGCAATTGCTCGCTTTTCATGGTTTATTTCCTTAATTTGATCGCTTCAAGTGGGCGCAATTGTGAACTGAAAAAATGTTTGCCAATTCTACATGCTTCTTTTAGAATTTTTTTCTATTTTTTTTTTTTTTTAATTTTAACATATATCTTCCATATGTGTGTGTTTACTGGAGTGTTTAGCTTAGTACGATGTTTCGAAATTAATTTTTTTCTCTCTTCTTTCTTTGCAGCACGAGTCCGAGCACACTGAAGGATGTTACAATGGAGCATTCATGTGAGTATTATGTAACAACAAGCCATGCAAAATACACGGTAGTAGTATTCTATTTGTCTAGGTAATCCATCTAAAGCCATGGAATACAAATAGGCTAACATTCCATGATATATTATAGAAGTTAGGTTAGTTTAGGTTTTCGCAACTGAATTCCGATTGGTGAAACAAACWCAATCGCGTAAGCGGTGWCTACGCCAATCAAGAAACAAAAATTCCTGAAGATAGATAGAACTTTCACATACCGAAGAAGTACGCTGAAATCTTCACAAATGTGTTAAGGCGACTTATTTCGTTGGCAGTTAGTGCCCTTAGTTTGTTAGAGCAATAAAAGCTAAGTGGTTTTAACTTTAGTCTCGAAAAAGCGGAATAACTCTAAAGAGAGTGGCAATATTCCACGCAATTTAAGTAAAAATCATCAGACAAGAAGTTTAATAGCCTTACCGTATCGGTATAAATCAAACGATGGTAAAATCCCTATAAACAGAGAGAGACGAGCTTTGCAAAGGTACTCTCTCCCAAMMACGAAACAAAGGCTAGTTATCCRGAACATTTTACCCTCAARGASCTGTAACTAGCCACTAGCAAGCTYAAGGCYAACAAATCGACCGGCAGTACTATTGAATCCGTACAACGCCTGCTTCGAAGCCGGAATATTCCCTGAATCCTGGAAAAAGTAATGGTTGGTGCTAAGCAGTGSGGGAAAAGGAGATCCCTACTTGCCATCACCATACCGTCCACTATGCATTCTTGAAACGGAAAGGCTCTATGAAAGGCTATTTAAACGCAGACTCGAAGCGGCTATCAACTAAGTTGATGGACTCTCCCCTAGACAACTCGGCTTTAGACACGGCAGAGCAACTCTAGGAGCTATAAAATAAGTAGTTGAAAGTGTAGAAGCCGCACAGCTTAGATGACRTAAATACAAAAGAATAGTGTTGCTGGCGACTTCAGATGTCCGAAACTCTTTCAACAGCGCYAGATGGGTGGAAATGATCGATGCTTTCGAAAGAAGTGTGATCTGCAAGTGGTATATACCGTTGCTATGACGACAGCACAATGCGGTAGGCATTTTCCACCTATATGACTGGAAACCCAGATAATATTGATCGAGTTACCTACCGAGAGTCTAGCTATTGTCTGCTTGCAGGCTGCAGGAATACTTTACTCCCCTAACTATATTAGAAATATATAATAAAAATAAAAAAAAAACGCGAGGTTATACGACCACCTTAAAAATATATCCATGGTTTGAACCCCAATTTATAAGTGAGTTGGGTTTCAAACCCTCAGTCACTCATTTGATAAYCACGTTTGCAACCCATAACATCCCATTTTTGTATATTTTCGCCTCAAATATTTTTCATTATTTGTTCTACTACCTAGTTCAATAACTTTTCATAGTAGGTAACTGAAAAAGTCATACAAAATTTTTGACTTATAGTTGAAAATTAGTTTTGAATTGTGTAAAAAAGAAAAATAAAAAAGAGATTTTTTCATAATCGTACTTTCAAAACTAAATTGMACAACTAATTTAACAAAAATTTCAAATAACTGTAATAAGCCACTCAGTTTTGGAACCACTACCAACACACACACACACACAGCCCATGCATTTGCTGCAAATACCGACAACAATAGCAAACAAATAGCGAATTATAATTAAATAAGAAAAAAAGCAGAAAGGTTTAGAACTTCCAGAGCAACAAAAAAGACAAAACGAAACGTCGCCATGCGTCGCAGTGTGTGCAGCATGAATAGCACACAGGAGTCGAAAGAGAAATTATTCGTCTTCAAGCGCAGTCCACACACGCCGCTCAGCGAGACGGACTCGAGTGCGGATGGTAAAGCGGAAGCGCGCTGAGCATATGAAGTTTTATTTATTTTTTTTTTTTTCTAATTATTAATTTAAGTTAAAAAATATAAATAATGTTTTTTTTCTATATTTTTTCCTCTACGCAGATGGTGTTGGATTTCCCTGTGTAAGCCTACAGGGCCACGGCACGACCTCGCCGCCGGTGCAGGGTCGCTCCGTGCGCGAATTCGAAGAGCAAATGGCATCGCTGCGCAAAGAGAATTTCAATTTGAAGCTGCGACTATATTTTCTCGAGGAAAGTGTGCCAGGTTATCATCAAGCGAATGCCGAGGGTCATGAATCGCTTATGAAGCAGCTGATTGAGACAAAGGTAGGAACGATTTAATAATATGAAATATAATTTAGAGTTTATTGGTTATTATGAAACGTTTATTTTTTTGCAGGTTGAAATTGAAATTTTACGTAAGGAACTGGARCAGAAACAGGAGTTATTAAAGGAAGCTGCGCAGGCTATGAATCACATGGAGGATATACAGAAAGAAACTGAGTCAAAGGGGCAGGCTTTTATTGAGGAACTGAAGCAGAAGATACAGTTTTTGGAGGTGAGTAAAAAATTAATAAATTGGAAAGGGATTTTAGAAAAAGAAAGCGTTGAATTTAGGTTAAAGAAAAAAAAA